CCTGCCAGGGCAGGGGGTGCGGGCGGGAGGGGACGGGGAGGACGCGACAAGCGCCTGCCCCGAGCTGGTGGCTGTCCTGCCTGCTGCCCACACGAATCCGGGGGGGTGGTGGTGGGGTTAAGCGGGAGAGGGGGCTGAGCATAGAGGGGATTATGGGATCCCAGTGCCTCGGGGGGAGCTCTCGGGCAGGGCTGGCATCGTCAGGCAGCGATGGGGCTGGCGGGGGGGTCTTCTCCCGAGCACGGGGCATTGTGTCCTTGAACCAGCCCGGGAGGCAGCGAATGGAGTTAGAGTGGGTGTCATCCTGGGGGTCCCACCGCCAAGCTGTCCGTCCTGCTGCCCAAGGGGGCTCTGGATTTGTCCCCCAGAGCACAGTGCTGAGAAAAGCACCTGGAGCCCTGAGCAGCCCCAGCTCTGGGTGCGGGGTTGGGGGGGGTCTCTGGGGACCTGCGGCCCCCGGAGAGAGCACAGCTGGGTGAGGATGCACCTACCGCAGACCCTAATTTCCTTGTGATGGTGCCCAGGGAGAGGCTGCCCCTGGGACAGAGACCCAGGGGCCCAGCAGCTCGGCCATCTCCTCGGTCCCCAAGTGGGACAATTCCTCGGGGCAGGACCCACGAGCAGCTCCTGGGGCTCAGAGGCAGCAGGGAGCGAGGCTGAGCCTGCTGCATCCGGAGAAGCTGGGTGCAGGGGTGGATAAAGGAAGGTGGGGGACAAGTTTTGGGTGCCACACTGGAGGAGTAAGTGGCACAGAGGGTGGCACTGACCCTGGCTGGCCGGAGCTTGCTTTTTCCAGTATCCTCACTCCTCTGGTATCCCACACCAGTAGACCCAGGGCAGTGAGGGGCTGCTCCCTGGAAGCAGGGGAGATAAATGAGGATGAGGGCAAGATGCCCCAGTCCTGGGGGCTCTCAGCCATCCCCTGTGATCTGGGATCCCCAAAAGACCCAGCTCCTCAGTGGGGTGCCCTTCCGCCGGGCGAGGCTGCAGCACTGCTGCGAGCTGCAAGCACCACCTTGCGGCTGCGGGACCGGCTGCCTGCAGGGAATGGGGGTGGGGTGCAGCCCTGCAGCCCCCCCAACCCGCTCCCCCACACCAGGCAGGGCTCCTGGGGGGGGTCATCACCACAGGCACAGGCTTTGCTCCACGTCCCTCACTGCACCAACCTTACCAGGGTGCTCCAGGGCTGGAGGCTGCAGCAAGAGGGGAAGGGCGTGCAGCCCATCCTGCTACACCCCATGGGCTGGATGCGGCCCTGGCAGCACCCAGGGGGTCCCAACACCCACCCTGGGCCAGTACCTGCCCTGTCCCTGGCACAGAAGTGATGGGCAGGGGGAGCTGCTGATGGGGCAGAGGGCAGGCTGCAAGGCAATCAGCAGCTCCTGCAGCGAGGAATTAAACACTTCTCCATCCACGGTCAGTATTTATTTTGCTCGGGGGTGCTGCTTTCCACTGCAAGTCCGTCCCTTCCCCCTGCTCTTATACTGCGACTGGGGAACGCGACACTCGATGGGAATGGGGGGGGTGCTGAGGCTGCTGCCTCCATCCCCTCGCTGCCCCCACGCAGGGCACGGCCACC